TGTTCACCAGTACCTATGTTCACCAGTACCTACAGTATGTTCCCCATACCTATGTTCACCAGTACTTATGTTTCAGAGTACCTATGTTCACCAGTACCTATGTTCACCAGTACCTATGTTCACCAGTACCTATGTTCACCAGTACCTAGTATGTTCCCATACCTATGTTCACCAGTACCTATGTTCACCAGTACCTATGTTCCCCATACCTATGTTACCCATACCTATGTTCCCCATACCTATGTTCACCAGTAACTATGTTCACCAGTACCTATGTTCCCCATACCTATGTTCACCAGTACTTATGTTTCAGAGTACCTATGTTCACCAGTACCTATGTTCACCAGTACCTACAGTATGTTCCCCATACCTATGTTCACCAGTACTTATGTTTCAGAGTACCTATGTTCACCAGTACCTATGTTCACCAGTACCTACAGTATGTTCCCCATACCTATGTTCACCAGTACCTATGTTCACCAGTACCTATGTTCACCAGTACCTAGTATGTTCCCATACCTATGTTCACCAGTACCTATGTTCACCAGTACCTATGTTTCCTGGGGTTTATAATAAAATTTGTAAAACAATATAAAGCATTCAGGCTCATATTTGCACACTGTTTTATCAGGTTTCACTATGATTAGATTGTATTTTCATCAACACAAGTATTTGTACTAACTTTATAGTTCAGTAAATTTTTTATGTATTTTCAGTAAATTGTGTCAAAATATAATATATTTCTAAATTGACAGAAGTAACTACTGTACTTCCAATTCACAGAATGAGAGCTGTGACCGTTGGAGCAACCACAGGAAACATCTGCAGTGTCTGCCAGGTGCTTAGTCAGCAGTCTCCTTGGAGTCTATGGTTAAATATTTCTGTCATGCTGCAGCCGATCTGCATCCATGGAACACAGTTAGACCATAATGGAGAAAGTTATTTTCAATAAACAGAAGTTTGTACCAATAAAAAGTATTGACACTGACAGAAAATGAGCTGTTAGATGTAAAGGTTGTGTTCTCGTCAAAGAAAGGCGGGATTGTTTAACACTAAACTCTTTGTGCTTCTGAAAGCACACGAGTATACATATTTTTAAACACAAATGCAGAATTCTTTGTTGGTGAAGACCACGAGAAAGTCAGAAGATCAGGATGACTGCTGGGAGAAGCAGTGATCTCACTCAGCCTTCACCAATAAAAACAACACAGTGAGGAGAAAACACGTGGAGACAAGTTGTTTGCCTCACACTTCTGAGTCCTGAGCTCAGTCAGATGAAACTTGTGGGAAAAAGAAGTCTGTTTTTGTTGTCTGCTGTCTTYGACGTGCATAAAGGGAGATGACTGGGTCGGGTTTCTGAGCTGTTTTTACTCTGATTCCTCGTCTCACTCCATGGTGTCAAAGTGTTACACACACTCAGGAACAAAAACACCAGAACAGAACCAAACACAAACACACAGGAACAGAGCAGTCTGCGCCAACAACGACACAATGCCATCTTGCTAGGTGCTATGTGTTCATTTAACACAGTTTGATGGATTAGTGGTTAGCACTGATACCTCACAGCAAGAAGGTCCTGGGTTCAAATCCCAGGTTCTAGCTGGGGCCTTTTTATGTGGAGTTTAAAGGATCAATATCATGTAAAATCAACTTTTTTTAGTTTTATATCATGTTATAATGTTAAACTCTCATAAAAACATGTCCAAAGCCTTGCTCTGACTCATTCATCANGCATTTTTGGAAAGATAACATTCATGACATGTTGAAAAACAAATTTCACACTGCTGAGATGAACGGTTGTTGAGATATTTGTGTGTGAAGTAACAGGAAGTGATGTCAAAGGGGAATGTCTGCATGTAAACAGAGCTTTGCTACAAYGGCTAACAACRCAGTCTGTGAATAAGAATCTGATGTTTCTTTACATTATTTTGAGTCTCTGTCACAGAGAGATGAAGAGTTAAAGTTTAAATGATAYAAACAAATACCAAAGATTTTATTTTATTAATTAGTTCCCCTTTGATGTCACATCCTGTTTCACTTWGGCTGAGAMAAATTCAAAAGAAAATAGGCCAGTTATGTGACAAAATGAGCAAAATCATGTGTATTGGGRCAATTTTCTTAAGTATAAAGATGTTTGACTKTTTGTRTTTGAAGTACATTCATGTCACAGGCACTTTAATGTGAGTTTCAAAGCACAGATTACTCGATCAAAAAGACAAACATGACAGTTTTCTTACTTAACAAAGGAGCTGGCGAGCAGGCCGACTAGGCCGACAGCTGCACCGCCCACCGCCGTGATTCTGCAGCCGAAGATGTCAGTGAAGACGCTGACGATGGGAGAGCAGAAGAAGATCATCCCCATTGAGAGGGAGCCCACCCAAGCTGCAGGACACAGACAAAAAGAGGAGAAGTAAGTAGAGCCTTACAAAATAAAACAAATACACAACAGTTTGAGTTCTCACATCACGAGTTCACGAGCTTCCTCTCATCAGGGACATTATCTGTGCTGAATAATTCTTTACAAACATTTTGTGAGCTTGAAAAAAATAACTGTGGAGAAGCTTCAGGTTCTGGAGGTTTTAATACAGTTTGGAAAGGTTTCCTTCACATGTTGGGTACCTATGTTCACCAGTACCTGTTTACCCAAGTACCTATGTTTCCCAGTACCTATGTTCACCAGTACCTGTTTACCCAAGTACCTATGTTTCCCAGTACCTATGTTCACCAGTACCTGTTTACCCAAGTACGTATGTTCCCCAGTACCTATGTTCACCAGTATATGTTCACCAGTACCTGTTTTCCTAAGTACGGATGTTTCCCAGTACCTATGTTCACCAGTA